AGGAATCCTCTCTTCAGAATTCTTAATCTCCCATGGTCAAGTGTTGGTGTGAAAAACAAGGATCCCAAGCACATTTTTAGAACCTTGTTTCTGGTTTTCCATGAAGCCCAAGCTCTCCTCTGCTCAGGGAGGATGGAGAAGCTGCAGGAGGCCTGAAATTGTTCAGAAATGCACATTTGAAAATGGTCCTTTTCCTTTTTTGATAACCCAGAAAGCAGGAGCTGGTGTGCCATCCATTAAACTATAAATAAAGACATAAAAGAAGAATTCCTAATCCACATCCAGGAAGGGCTGAGGTTCAAAACCCAGACCCCACCCAGGACTTCAGCATCTGGAGTGTCCCATCTCACACCTCAAAACATTCCCAGGCCTGGACTTTGATTTGGGTCTGCAGCCCTCTCTGTTGTTTTCTCGGGGGTGCAGCATTTTCCAGGCTCTTTCCAGCAGAATTCTTTCCATGCTGCCCATCACAATTTTTATGGAGTCACGAGGCAAATTTACAGCTGAGAAACTTCTCCCTGGCCCCACGCTGCCTCCCAGCTTTGATGTGCGCCGCCCCTATAGCCATGAAAATTCACATCCACTTAACTCAAATCCCCCCTAATCAAATCCTTGGGAATCAGCACGTTCCTGGGTGGATTTGCAGCTGCTGCAGCTGTTTGGGCAACACGTGGCCACCAAAACCCTTGAGCTCAGGAGTGGCATCACTGCTCCCCAACCACCCAGGAGAATGAGAGATAGCAGCAGGATTGCCAGGACACAGCTTGCAAGCAGCATTCCCAAAGGAAAAGGCCCCAAACACTCTCCTGAAAGGCTGATGCTGCATCCCAACACTGTTCACCAGCCCAGGCCCTTGCAGGACCCTTTTATGCAGTTCCTAAAGTCCAGCTGGGGCCCAGAGCTCTGGAATTGGGGCAGTTTAGGGCATACCCAGGAGGAGTCACTCTGGAATTGGGAATCACGTGGGCTGCTGTTGCCTGCAGCAGGACAACCTGAGGCACCTGAGGCTCCTTGGGGACAGGCTCCAGTGGGTGTTTTCCTGTCTGGGGGGACAAAGACCTCTTCCATCCTCCCTGGGCAGCCTGTGCCAGGGCCTCACCACCCTCACAGCCAGGAATTCCTTCCCAGTATCCCATCTAACCCTGCCCTCTGGCAGTGGAAGCCATTCCCAGTGTCCTGTCCCTGCATCCCTTGTCCAAAGTCCCTATCCAGTCCTCTCCTGGAGCCCCTTTAGGCATTGGAAGGAGCTCCAGGGTTGTCCTGGAGCCTTCTCTTCTCCAGGTGAGCACCCCCAGCTCTCCCAGCCTGGCTCCAGCGGGACTCCAGACCTTGGAGCAGCTCCATGAGCTCCTCTGGACTTCCTCTAGCAACTCCAAAGGTCCTTCTGATTTTGGGGTTCCAGAGTTTTTGAGGCTCTGAGTTTGGGGTTCCAGAGTGTGGTCTCACCTGAGCAGGGCAGGGAGACAGAACCCCCCTTCCTGCTGCCTGCACTGGGGAAGTGCAGGCCCCTCATTATCACCCCCAGCCCCTCTGCCTGTGAGCCACCAGCCCCCTGAATTCCCCCTCCTGCCCCCCAACTCTGTGCCTTGGTTCTCCAGCACAGCTGGTGCCTCCCCCATTTGCCTCCTGCACCAATGTGGGTTTTAAACACATTTATTTCCATCCCCATCCAATTTCTTCCCCTTTTCCTGGTCTTCTTTCCCAACAGAGGGTTTCCAGCTCGGGATGGGGATGGCCACAGTGTAACTTCAGAGCTTTATCCCGTGGCCTTTCCCAGCCTGGCACGCAGCGCTCAATTTGGAGCGCGGTGTCCTCGCTCTGTTCCATGCCGAGCTCTGTTGTCCAGAGGAATTAATTCCAGATTATGTGTGGGTGTGGACTTCAGCTGGGCAAAATTTGGATACCCTGGTTGAGTCATTATTGTCTGATGAATCTCTTGGTGACAGCCTTCGCCCCTATTGTTCTGAGGTGAGCCCCGTGGCAAGAAATGTGAAAGCAAGAAACAAAAGAATATAAAGAAAGGTTACGAAATCAAATTCAGTTAAGGCAGGGTTATTGTCCCTCCATCCCGCCTCTCTGGCCTCCAGTTGGGATTGGATTTGGCAGGAAAACAACCCCCATGGGACAGTGGCTGGGGTTTAGAGCAGGTTCTGGGGGGAGCTCGTCCCCGTGGGACCCTGGTGGCCCCAGTGACACAGCAGAGACAGGGAGGAGGAGTTATCATCAATTCTTAACATTTTATTTCTTTACTGGGTTAAACAAGGAGCAGAGAAAACCTCGGCCCCAAAATACAACAGAACTGAAAGCATTACAGGTACAGAGACTATTGAACACAGAGAGTAGTAGGATAATATTTTAATACAACTGAATTATAGCATGGGATTGTGTTTTTGTTGGGTTTTTTTTGTTTGTTTTTTGTCAAACCAGTTTGGAAAATAAATGTAATAGGAACTAGTGCAAAAAAGTTCTAAACATGAAGCACAGTGTATAAAATGGCATAAGAAAACTGTCCCCTCGAGGACACAGTCACTTTCTTATGACAGAAGGGAGAAAGAGAAACAGAAGGGGGGTGGGAACAGAGGGAGGGTCCAGGAGGTGGAGGAGGAAAAGCTGGAAAGAAAGAGAAACCGGGCCGGGGGATTAGAAAGGATACTTTGACTTCAGCAATGTTGGTTTGTGTCTCACCACCACGCTCTGTTCGAGGAGCTCGCTGGGGCCGGGCCGAGCTCTGTCACACCCACACGGCACAAGCGCTCGAGAAGGGTTCGGGCTCGGCAGCCTGGGCACGGCGGGGTCGGGTCCCACGGGTCCCCCCGAGGTCCCCAAGGTGCCCCCACGGCCCTGGGACACCCAGCACAAGGCAGGGAGCCCCAGCTCGGACACGCTCCAGAGGGAGAAGGGCACGAGGGGCTGGGGTCTCCTCCTGCTCTCCCTTCCCACATCCCTCCCGAACACGGCGTTGGCTCCCTCAAGGACCAGCACATGGAATTTGATCCCAGTTTCCAGCCCAGTGCCTCCCTTTTGAAGGCATCCTGAGGCTCCAACATGAGGCTCGGAGGAGCTGGATTCAGTTTGGGTTGGAACAGAAAACCAAACCAAACCTCCATCAGAGGCATGGCTGGGGATCCCCAGGAATTCCTCCCAGGCATCAGCAGCTCTGATTCCCACGGGGAAGGTGTCCCTGCATTCCCAAGGTGTTATCCCGGCCTGCTCAGCCAGGATTCGCTCCAGCCTGTTCCCACCATGGAGCCACCCAGCCTCCTGCCCTGGAGAAACTGGCTGGATGCTATTTTAAGGAGAGCTGGTTGGAATTCCTTACAAATTGCTATTCTCTCCCAATCCGCTGCCGCCAGTTCCAACTCTGTGAGCAGAAAAAGTGTGATTGATTTTTTATTTTTTTTGCCTCGTTTTCTATTTGGAAAATGAAAGGTTTTGTGGGAAAGGACTGCTCTGGATGCATTTCTCAATTTCCAAAAAAAAAAAAAAAAGAAAAAAAAAAAAAGAAAAAAAAATTGGTCATAATGATCAATCTGGCTTGTTTTGACAAGTTTCAAAATTAAAAAAAATCACTGTCTGGCTCTTTTTGTCTTTTTGTTTTGCAACTTAGGCATGTCCAGTTCCCAAATACATTTAAAAATGGTAAAACCAACCCCAAATTTCATAAGCCAAACCTAATTCTTGGGTTTGTTTGTTGAGTTTCAGTTTACAACAAGCGGAGTTGTCGACCTTCTGGGCTGAAAAAGGATCATCCTGAAGTGCTAAAAAAGCTGGAAACTGCTCCTGGCCTGCCTGGAACACAGGTCCTGGAGATGTGGAGCAGGAAATGGTGGAAGGACTGGGCTCAGGAACTCACCCATCTCCTGCCCAGGCCTTTGAGAGGGGCTGAGAGCTTTGATAAAACCCCAACAACTTCTAAAATTTATTATTCCTTATTTTTTTATGATCCTCAATTAAAAATGGTCCATCCCCCACCACAGTCTTCCCTTTGCTCCCTTCCTCCTTCCTCATAGAGACGTGCAGGGCTGGGAGGTCGCCCAAAGAGCCACCTGGACCAAGAACACCCAAAAAGAGCTGCTAAAATCCTTCCATTCCTGGAATAAAATGGACTCATGGTGGGAGCTGTGCAGCCCCAGGGCTGTTGTGATGCAGGAGCTCCAAGCAGGCCCCTTCTGTGGGAGAAGGGATGATTTTGGGCTTGTGGGATGGTGGTACCTCCAGCTGGGATGCCCATGAGCTAACTTCTGGGCAGAAGGAGATCCTTAACATCCAACCTGAACACCTGACATGGCCCTTCCCAACTTTTCCAGCCTAGTTTAAGAGAGATTTAGCCCCCAGAGACAGGAAGCCCGAGGGAAGCAGGAAAAGTTGATTCACGAATTCCCTGCCTGTCTTGGGTTACAATGTAAGATGTAACCAAAAGATAGGTGGGGCAGCGTTATCTTCTCCATGACTCAGCCCTGATAACTCCCCCCAGGGAAGCGCCAGCCACTCTGTGGGGAGCCATCAGCACCAGTGGGCCACCAGGCTCTCACAGAATGACTCATAGATCTCATCATCCCACTGCGAGAGGCTCCACCCAGGGAGAGGAACAAATCATTCCTACCTGGATATAGTCTGAGGCCTGGAACACCACAGGAGCAACACCACTGGATTTGCAGAGGATAAGGTCTCCATAACCACCACGGAACCTCCAGAGAAGGACCAGATCTTTCTACAGGATCACTGCTTTGACAGAACCACATCCATCACTCCAACAGCTCCCATTTAATGGGACTGCTACCCCACCCTGACCAACGGGCGGGCAGGTCACACTCGGACTGTCAGTCTAAGCCAGTGCTTCTGTACTACTGCCTTTAGTTTTCCTGCTAAATTGTAGCTCTGACTTGGAATCTCCCGCTGGTTTGCTTTCAAGCTGGAACGTTTCTGGTGCCCAGAGTGGGCGGCCCTGGAAGATGTGGCAGTGAAGTGCAGCTCTCTCCTTGCTGGAAGTTTGTGGTGAGGACCCGGCACGGTGGGGAGCGACGGGGGAGAGAGGAGCCTGCTGTCAGCCGGGGATGGAGAAGGTGACTTAACCCACCTGGAGGGAGATGAGGAAGGGTACAAAGAGGAGCATGATAGGAACAGCAGGCACTCAGAAGATGATGATTTACAGACTGAAAAACGTAAGGCTGGTGACCTAAAGGAATTCCAAGAAGTGGAGGAAAGAGATCTTCAGGAACCGGTTGCTTCTTTTTCAGAGAGAGTGTGGAACATGTCTCCAGATGAGATCAAAATCCCTCCTGAGCCTCCTGGCAGATGTTCTAACCAACTGCAGGATAAAACTAAAAAGCTGTATGAGAGGAAAATGAAACAGGGCATGGATATGAACTACAGCATCCAGAACAAAAAGGAATTTCGCAACCCCAGCATCTATAAAAAGCTGATCCAGTTTTGTTCCATTGATGAAATTGGTACAAATTACCCAAAGGACATGTTTGATCCTCATAGCTGGTCAGAGGATTCATATTATGAGGCCCTAGCTAAAGCCCAGAAGACTGAGATGGACAAATTGAAGGCGGCCAGGAGAGAACGTACAGAAATTGAATTTGTGACTGGCACTAAAAAGGGTACAAGAAGCGCTGGTTCCACAACCACCACAACATCCAGCACCACTGTGGGAGATGCCCAGAAGAAGGGGAGGAGGAGCAAGTGACACGTGTTGAGGAAGGGTCTCAAAGAATGACTCATAAAATTACATCATCTCATTGTGAGCTCCTGCACACTGAGGGGAGGAACCAAACATTCCTACCTGGATATAGTCTGAGGCCTGGAACACCACAGGAGCAACACCACTGGATTTGCAGAGGATAAGGTCTCCATAACCACCACGGAACCTCCAGAGAAGGACCAGATCTTTCTACAGGATCACTGCTTTGACAGAACCACATCCATCACTCCAACAGCTCCCATTTAATGGGACTGCTACCCCACCCTGACCAACAGGCGGGCAGGTCGTACTCTGATTCTATCAGTCTAAACCATGGTTTCTGTACTACTGCCTTTAATTTTCCTACTAAATTGTAGTTCTGACTTGGAATCTCCTGCTGGTTTGCTTTCAAACTAGTACACTGCCCCATCACTTTCTGGCAGAATCCAGGAATGTTTCTGTCCTGACATTGTCTCCACCAAGCCCTACAGGCATTCCTTTCCCAGACAGCAGCAGGAATGGGAACAGGATGAATCACAAGCTAGGGGTAACCTGGGCTATGGGACCTCACTCCCTTTGGCTCTGTGGAAATCATGGAATCCCAGAGTGGTTTGTGTTGGAAGGGACTTTCAGGATCATGCAGTTCTACCCTCTGCCATGGAGGGACACTCCACTATCCCAGGTTGCTCCAAGCCCCATCCAACCTGGCCTTGGATGCCCCCAGGGACAGGGCAGCCACAGTGTTTCCAGGCAACCTCAACAACCCATCCCAAACCATCACACTCAGTGCCACCAGAGACCAGGAGGCACATGCAGAGCTCAGCACAGGGACACTCCACAGCCTGGCCTCACAGGATCCTGCCCAGGAGCAGCAGATATCTGGGATTTTCCCTTTATTCCCTTCCTCCAGGCGGCAGCCGAGCGTCTCCCGGCCCCGCCCGCCGCCCTGAGTGGCAGTGAATGAACTGCCCTGACATCTCCTCTTGAAGCAAAGCAAAATGTGTTGAAGATAAACCAGTTCCAGATGTTTTCCCAGTGTTGCCAAGTTACTCAACATGTTCTGCTTTAGTTGTCAGATGCTTTCAAAGCGATTTCCCTAACTCCGAGCACGAATGGTGAGGGCTCTCCCTGGGAATCTTCTGCCTGGGGCTACCATGGATCTGTATTTTCATAAGAAAAAGACTCAGCTAATGATTAATGTTCCCCAGAGGAAGCGGGGCCTTTCTTTGGGATTTTTCTTCAGTTATTTTTAATTAATTTGTACAACTGGCAGCTACATGAAAGTGCAAAACCCGGGAATAACGCTGGACCCGACTCCTTTTGCTCCTTCTCTCTGCCCACACCTGGAGCTTGTGGAGACATCATCACCCCTCACTTCCCTGGGGATGAGAAAACCCCCTCACCAGGCAGGAATCACTGCTTCCCACTGGGAATTTTCTCTGAGCAAAGAGAAGTTTGTCCACTGAAGGAAAAGTAATTTTTACATATTAATCCCAACACGGGGCATCTTCTTTAGGAATAAGAGATAAGAACATTGGATGAAGAGGACAAAGACCCTTGGGTTTAACTTCCTGGTGGGATAAATCATTTAGAGCTCACATATTCCAAGGTGGCTTTGGGAATGTGGAAAGCATTTGGGATTGCAAAAGGCCCCTGCTTGAGTGGACACAGGGCTTGGGGTGAAGCATCCCTGGACACAGTAAGGAAGCCCTTCCCCTGCTTATCCAGGCACATTCCTTCTTTATCCAAGCACGCTCACTCCTTTTCCAGGCACATTCCCTCCACTTTGTAATAAAAATAATGCCAGTAGTGTTAAGTGAGACAATGTCACTGTCTGCTTCCCGGGCTGTTCTTTCAGAGAGCAAAGCCAGAGTACTTGGGGATGGAGGATTAGGAGGTTGTAATGTCAGACCAAAGGCAGGAATTTTATCCGATGGGCTCCTGATGATGGACTGCTCCATACACCACTTCCAGCTGCTCCTGCTCTGGGAACAGCCTTGTCTGGATCCGTTTAAGCAGATTGGCAAAGTGTTGAATGCAGCATATGGTGCCCTAAAACCACAAAACTTATTGACAGCAGCCCAGACTCACTAAAGAAAAGATCTTCTACAGCCTTGCTCTGGGAAGACCCAGTACTTTCCTCCCACTTGCAGCAGGTAAAGCCCATCCCATGCTCCCAGAGTGGATCTGCATCCCATGTGCTCTCTCTGGCATCTCATCCTCTTGGAAACACCCCTCGGGAGCTGTGGCCTGGAAAACACAAGGATCTCCTGTCCTGGTGGCCTCCTCACTCCTGGTGGATGGGGCTCAAACCTCCCCAGCAGCCACCCAAACCAGCCCAGCTCTGAATTGGCTCCGCTTCCCGATTCACTGGGATGCAACACCTCCCGAGGGAAGCCTCCAGCAGGTGTTAGGGAAGCTGAAACTGTTCCTCACAGCTCCCAGGTTATCCCAGCAAATCCCTGCCAGCACCCCCCAAAGAAGACTTGGGTTGTTGGATCTCACTCCTGCAGCTCTGTGGAAATAATGGAATCATGGAATGGCTTAGGTTGAAGGGATCTTAAAGCCCATTCTGTTTCACCCTCTGCCATGGGCAGGGACACCTCATACTGGACCAGGTTGCTCCAAGCCCCGTACAACCTGGCCTTGGACACTTCCACAACTTCTCTGGGAGCCTCACATCATCACCCCCAAGCCTGGCCTGGCGCTCCATCACCAGCAGGACACAAGGGTTCAGGGCAGGGAGAAGGACGCGCACCCCCAGGGAGGTGCCGGATCCGGATGTGGTGCAGGGACTGAGGCCGGGCCACGCTGCTCAGTGTCACACATGACACAACGAACAGGGCCAGTGACTCAGGGCCACTTGCTGACGCACCACACTGGGCCATTCTTCTCTCTCCCGATGAGTCGCTCCGAGATTGGACACAGTCTATCTCCGAGAGAGGCGCCTGGAATTAGCTTAACTCTTGGCAGTACAGGAGAAATCTAATTTCCTTTGGGATCCGGCTGTCTGGAGGCAGGGACGGGGCTGTGCTCCCTCCCCTGGCCTGCATGGGAGCTTTTGCTCCTTCTCAGAGCAGCTCCACAACCCACTGCTCACAGAAAACCTAGGGATTGGATCCCGGTTTGCAGAACTGCTCCATGTCCAACCGTTCTGATTGGTGTCAACTGGGCTGAAATTAGATGGATGAGGAATAGTCAAATGAGAGACATCCTACTTTTTGGGTGGCAGTAGCAAGGGAATCTGCTCTGGAAACACTCTCCATCTTCCATGAGCACCACCTCTCCCACCCCAAAAACCATGGGACAATGGGATCACAGGCCTCGTCTCTGCAGAACTTTAGGAACAGGCAACTGGTGGTGTGTAAACATCACCCCAAAGCTCTGAGATTCAAGTCAAAGCAGGAATCAAACATTCAGCTGCTTCTCAGAGCCTCTTTGGTCTGGAAATGGGCTGGAAATGTCAGGAAACCTGTGCTTCCCACGAGATGCCTGGTACTTCCTTCTTCCAGCCAGGCAGGAAGTAGCTTTGCTCATGGGGCTCTGCTCACGGGGCTCTGCTTGGTTTTGCTTCACCTCAACAGACCAGAAACCACAAAACTCCTACAGATCATCAACTCTGGGACTTCTTGAACCCTCACAGGGATCCGAGATCAATTTGGGGTGCAGGACATTCCTCCTGCTCCATCCCTGTCTCCTGCAGTGACCCACGCAGGGCTCTGCTGTAGGTTCCTGTCAAGAGCCAGCCTGGAAACAGAAGGACCATCCCAGCCCCTCGGGGAGCTGGGAGTGGGCTCACACCCAAGTCGTGACCTTGTGCTAAAACACCCTCTCTTCCTTCCCTGCCCACACCCAGGACAAATTACAGCCCCTGGTGCCTGGCCTGGAGGCACCACCTCGCAGTGTCCATGCTGGGAGCAGTTCTGGTGGGTGGGTGGAGAATTGGGAGTTTCCTAGGAAATGACCTGGGGATCAGATCCTAGGGATCTGATGTTTGTTTGGGGCTGAATCCCTGGATATGCTGAGCTCAGGTTAAAAAACCACACCAAATGAGCCAAACGAGGCTACACCAGCCAGCACCTTGCCCAGCCAAGTCCAGCTGGGCTCCCAGAAATTTCCGGATCTGGGGGCATCCATGGATTGAAACTATTCACAAAAATGCTCCTCCCTAGCTGGGCTTTATTAGTGCCTCTTTGTGTGGGAGACTCTCCCTCCAAGCCAGATTTCTCCAGCCCGCTTGCCCAGTCCTCCTGCCATCCAGTCAATGATTTGTAGCTGGGAAGCATGGAAGGATGCCTTTGGGATTCCCTGCATCCAACTGTTGCCACGTGGGATCCCTCTCCCTCACAGCCTGTGTGCTGCTGGAGTCACATCTCCCCAATTCCTCACTGAGACCAGTCCCACCAGCCAGGGAGGACAACAAAAAAGGTTACACCAAATCATCAGGACACTTTGCAAAGTGGGATGTGGGAATGCTGGGGACATCCCTCCTGCTCCAAGCCTCCTCCCTCTCCTCCTCCTCACATAGAGGAGAAGGAAAGGCAAGGCGGGAAGAGCAAGCTGGGATGCAGTGAGACCAACCCCGAGTGGTACCACAGTGCAGTGTCACAGCGTCCCACTCCTGTCCTCAGACGCCACCAGCGAGGCAGCGCCGTGCTGAGGACACTGCGCCCCGCCAGGGTGGCTCTGCCCCGAGCCCCAGTGGCTTTTCCCTGGGACAGGAGTGGGCCAGGCTGTGCCGGGAGGTGCTGCCCCTCCGCCTGCTCCCTCGGGATTCAGACCCAGGAGAAAAAGAACGAGGGCTGGGCTGACCGTCAAACCTCGGCACGGCGCGGGCGGGGAGGCGCGGGCACTCAAGGCACTCGCGGCAGCGGCCGGGGGACACCCGGCAGTCCCATGGGGACACCCTTCGATTCCCAGGGACCCCTCCCCTCAGTCTCCCCGGCCCCGTGCCGTTCCTGCCCTCCCGGCGCCTGCGGGGCCGGCAATGCTGGCCCTGCCCGAACCCTTCTGGCGCCGGGTCCCGCAGCCCTGTGCGCGTTAGAGACTCTTCACCACGGGGATGCCCCGCGCGAGCAGCTCTTGGGGGATGTGCGGGGGTGCGTGTGTGCCACCCCCAATCCCGTGCCTCCCATTGGAGGAATAGCATGTGCCCCCCTTATGGGAAAAGATCTGGCGTTCTCCTTGGAGGTCGGCTCTGCCCTCTGTGTCACTCGTCCCGTGCCACGCTCTCCTCCAGGGCGGGCGGGGTCTCCAGGCCGAGCCCCCCGGCGCCGCCGTGCACGCTCGAGAAGGACACCATGGTGTGCAGGAGCATCAGGACCAGCACGCACAGTCTGATCCTGCTGCTGCCGAGGCGAGACCCCGCAGAGACCGGCAGCAAGGACGGGGAGTGAGGCTGGTGGTACTGGTGGTACTGGTGGTGGTGGTGGTGGTAGAGGTGGTAGTGGTTCTGCCTCTGGTGATGGAGGTGGGGGTCGTGGCGGTGGAAATGGAGCGACTCTGACGCCGTGGATTTGGGGGATGTGTCCTCGTTGCTGTCTGGGGGGTGCTCGCAGGAGTCCCATTGCACCTCGCAGCACTTGGCCTCCTCGTCGGGCAGCTGGTTCTCCAGCAGGCCTGCAGGAAGGAAGGAAGCAGGAGGAGGGGTCAGCGGGACACTGAGGATGAGGCGCAGAGGAAGCGAACCCTGGTGCCCACCAGTTGTGGGATGGGCACACCTGAGAACCAGGACAACCAGACACCCCCTGGGACTGGCCCCAGCATGTCTGTGAGCCTGCGCAGCAAGGCGAGCTCAGGGCTCCCCAAATCCTGCTCACAGTGGTTCAACATCCCCACCCTGCTTTAACCCATCACCTGTAGCTCCCTCCATGCTTTAGCCTTCAGTCAGAAGTAGGACTTTCACCTCCTGGGCTGAGATGTTGCTGTGCCCCCATTGACCCCTCACCCCCATACCCTTGGGGTGGCCACGTTTTGGCATCAGGCAATGTTTCCACACTGCCTCTCCTCCCACTCCACCCCGACAAGCCTTCCAAACTCAGGCAGTGGATTGGAAATTTTCCAGGGCTCACCAACACCCCCCTGTGCCCGGTGTGAGCCCGGCCCTCCTTACCCGTACAGATGAAGCCAGGCAAACCTCCATAGATCAGCTCATCATTGTCCGGTAACACGAAGGGGCACCTGGTCTGCACCTCCAGGCAGTATTGCTTGCATGGGATCCGCTGCCGGCACTGCTGCTGGGTCACGTTGAAGTACTCGGAGCACAGCCACGCCTTGTAGACAGCCTGGGGGAAATCACGGAGAAGGACATGTCACTTCCCCAAGCACTGGGACAGCTGGAGCATTGCAGTGTGGAAGGGGATGGGAGAGCTCCCAGCTCTTGTGGGAAATGTGTGTTGGGGTCATTTGTTGAATGATGGATTCAAACAATCACTGGAGTGTAACAATGGTGGAACTCGTCTATCCAGCTAAATCCACCACAAAAATCAAGCTAATTACCACATGGAATAATGTCTCCTACAGACAGGCATTGTGGCAGATTCTGCCAACATCAATGACCCAAGAGCTCAGTCCGTCACACAAAAATTCAAACGCTGCTTATCACCCATCCCAGAGTGTCCTCCTCATTCCCAAGACATCCCATGGCTCTCCTGGGAAGGGGAGGATTCTCACCTTCTCTAAAGTGCTTTGGCCCCCATCAGCTCTGGACATGAAACAGCAAAACACATCATGGGCTGGTCTTTACTGGAAATTTCCTGCTGGAAAAGCTGCTGGGATGCAGCACATGCAGCCACTGCACCTCAGGCTTGTCCCTCTCTGCCAGCAAATAACACCTTCCTCACCTTCCCCACCAGGTCCTTGGAGAGATTCCCAATTCTCTGATATCTGGAACTTCTGCTGTGCCATTTCTTTTGGCTGAAGGGGGAAACTTGTTCATTTTCCATGGATGTTCTGGCACTGGGATGTACCAGTGGTACAGGTGTCTTCATGTGCTCTGTTCACCTTCCTGATACTTCAAGCTGTGCTTGGCAACATTTCCAGAAGGAAGAGCACCCTGGGGTTTCAGCTGTGACTGAAAGGCTGTGCCACATTCCCTGCCTCTCCATCCTGTCCAGTCCTGGGTTTCCCTCTTCCCTTCCAGCCTCCGTGTGCTTGTGCCCACAGCAGACAGCCAGGCATAGCCCAGCTGGCTCAGTTACAACCATATTCCCAAACTTCCCTTATCTCCCCAGCATCAGGCATGGGGGAAGTTGTTTGTCTCCACTGGCTGTAGCAGACAGGGAAGGAGAACTCCCATTTCCCCTGGTGTGCATCATTCCTCCGGCTGCAAGAAACCCATGGCACTTCCAGTTCATCCACGAACTCATGAGGGCACGAGTGACAGCACCACGGTCATTCCATGACCACATCCAACTTCCTTTGAAACCAGCTAGAAAGGGCTCCCTGTGATTCAAAGAGAGTGAGTTTCCCTCCTCGGCATGCTTAGAGAAACCCAGTGCTCCGCCTTCCAGCTGCATTTTCATTTTCTGGAGCCTTTAAACCCATCACTTCTTTGTTTCCCCATGTTTTTCATAGATCCTTATCATTGTTTCTTTGGCCCACAGTGGTGTCTCAGGATTAAAGCTGGTTGGGAAATTCTTGGCAAGTTCTTTTAGTTTGTTTTTTTTTTTTTTCCTGTAAAATGCCAAATCATGAAAGGAGGTTGGGAAATTCTTGGCAAGTTCTTTTAGTTTGTTTTTTTTTCCCTGTAAAATGCCAAATCATGAAAGCCAGAATTTTCACAGAATTGTGTTAGCTTTGGTGAAACTTCCATCCCAAAAAGTTTAATGGGCACCAGGACACAATTTATGGAGTGAACATTTTGGAGCAGTCCCCAGTACCACGGCCATGGCTGGCCCCTGGGATGTGGGAATGCAGGTGCTTGTTCTCCTTGTCCTGTTGGGTGTTAATTACTGGGACACAGTGGAGCAGCTCCAGAGGAGGGAATAACTCTGCAGAGTGTGAGGACACAAGCAGGAGAGTTTCGAGGTCTGGATCTGCATCCCTGAACATGGAAGTGTTCAGGGCTAGGCTGGGTGGGGTTTGGAGCACCCTGGGAGAGTGGAAGGTGTCCCTGCCTGAGGCAGGGGGTGGGACAGGATGGGTTTAAGGTCCCCTCCAACCCAAACCATGCTAGGACTGCATGATCTGCCCGAGCTGATAGAACTGAGGAGGAAGAGCCTGTGCTCTGGAGGGGCCACAACCCCCAGTGCAACACTTGCTCTCCCTGACAGCCCCTTGTCCCCTGGGGACAGTGTGTGGAGCAAGCAGACATGGGGACAGCAAGGAGGACACAGCAGGACCCCTCAGTGGCTGGCACAGGCACCATGAGTTTCTCTTCGTTGGGAAAGCAGGACCTGTCACTGCTGCTATGGAACCTCAACAGGATGTAAAGGAGGGTTAGAGAGCTCAGGGGACAGTGACACCTTACACTGATGGGACACAGCACCAGGGGGTGTAAAATGGGCTCCAAAGCAGCCACTGGCTGCCCAGGATGCATTCAGACAGGCCATATCCTTATTCCAATCTGAGGACTCAACCAGTCTCTGCCTGGACACGATGCTATTGTTCCCACACACTCCAGTGTAATGTGGAGCAAAACAGAGAGAGGCTTTATTAATTACCTTAATGATTTGGGGTGCCTTTAGAGCAACAAGGAGAGGGTGTCCTGAGAACACCCCAACCCTCGGAGTATCCGACTGGATGAGCTTCTCCTTCCCCTGGAGACCATCCAGGATTTTGGGCAGCTGGTGTGGATGACCTCCTTGAATTTGAACTGGCTGATGTCAGGTGGGTGAATTCCCCCCAAAGCCATGAAGTTTTCAGAATTAAAATCTGGATGGATTAACTGAACCACAACCAGCCTGCAGTTTTAAGGGGAATTATGAACACACAAGAAGCTGGATGGACATCACTGGTGTGCCCAAGTCCCATCTGGGATGGACACCCTGAATCCATCCCTCCAGCTCAGCCTCTTTTCCAGCCCTCATCTGCCTTAGGATAAACATCTCCATCAGTGGGACTTGTGTTTCCCAAGGAGGTTGTTTTACAGCACTTATCTCGCTGCCTACAAGTTTTCCTTCATACTTGACCTACATTTTTCCATCCAAAAGTTCACTCCCTTCAATCATTCCCTCCACCATTCCCTCTCCCTGCTCTGTGTTTACACATCTCTAATATTTGCAGATGTCTCACGCTCCCCCTTTAGTCACAACTCAGGCGAGCTCGGCTGATTTACTCACTCCCATTTCCTGCCAGTCTTCTTCCCAGCTCCGACTCTCCCACGCTGCTTCCCAGATCCCAGTCACATCCCAGCTCCCACCTGGGCTCACATGCAGCCTGGCATGGAGGGTACACTGAGTGCTCCAGCAGAGGATTGTGGGTGTCACTTGAGCTGTCCTAGCTCCAGATTTGGGGGGAAAAGGCAGCTGGAACAGGAGATTTCCCAGAGCTTTGTAGGAAGCTGAGTTCATCCCGCTCTCATGTGGAAACAGCTGGCACAAACAGGCTCTGCAGGGATCCACACATATTCCCCCTAAAATGTTTGTGATGATTCCCATCAGGGAAGTCTGGCAGAGGGTTGGGGTCACACACAGGAACATTCCATGAATTTAATGAAAATATGGAAGAAGACACTGCAAGGAGCTGGTGATACCACTGGGGAGGGCAGAGCTGGAGCACTCATCCAGAACCTGAACCAGGATTCCCTGGCTGCCTTCCATTCTTCCTTTCCTTTCCCTTTGAGGGAAGCACTGACACCAACCAGCCTGTGCCATTCCCTTGTAGCAGATCCTCCAGGTGCTGCAGCAGGAATTCCTGCAGATCTGCAGGATGGAAACTGCCTGTGTGTACTGAAAACCAGAGACATCCAAGACCTGCTGGTCCAACAGGGCTCTCCCATTCCACTGGGATCAGGCTGAGACACAGGTGGATCTCCAGGAGACCCCAGTGTCCTCCCATCACTCACCCACAGAGATCCATGTCACAGACAAGGAGCAAATTCCCTGGGATGCTCAAGGTTTTGGTATCTCCAAGCTTACCCCACACAACCTCCTTAGTTCTGCTGTTAAAAAGGACATGTGAGAATTTAGGACAGGAAGAAATTTATTCCCTGCTTAGATCAACTAGGAAAGCTCCCTGGTTTCCATTCCTGCCCTCTCTGGATTCTTCAGGAAGCGGGTTGGGTTGCAATCAGTGTTCCTGCCATTCTGGTTTGGCTTTTGGCAGATCTCCAGCCTGGCCAAGTAAATTAAAGTGACCTCAACTCCAAAATAGCTCCAGTTTGGTGCCCTCTTTCTGCATTTTTAGCTCTGGAGGATTGGCTGCATGACTCTGAGAAAGCACAGGGAATTTGGCTGCCTAGGAAAGGAGCCAACTTCAGACACCCAATTTATATGGAAGGAAGAGGACAGGCTATCTATCCACATTGGAATTTTGGAGGTGAGATGAAAAACCTCATCATTAAAAAAACCCCAAATGAATTGGATTCTAATGGTGAATTACACTGTCTGCTCACGCTTCCAGTGGGGTCTGGAAGCAGCAGTCAGAGGGATGGTGCTTTCACAGGGAATTCTGTGCCAAATGGGAGTTCTTCCCTGCCTGCACTATTCCCTCTGTCTCCTGGCAGTACCAGGACACCATTCCCCACCAAACAGCTTTTCCAAACTTTTTGTGTCCTTAGGATTTCTGTACAAATCTGGCCACTTCAAGGCCAGTCCAGTTGCTGCCAGTATGTTGGAAACACTGGCACTGCCTGTAGAACCATCCCAGCTGCATTTTGGGAGAACCGAGGAGCAGGAATGGAGCAGCATTCTCAAGATACACCACCACTGCAGAGGATGCAGTGCTTGGGATAGTTTGGATGCTCACTGGGAATGCCAGCTGTAATTAACACAACAAACTGAACAGGAATCAATGCTTGGGAAGTTTCCCCAAGGAAAATCCTGCTAATGGCACAAACATAACAAATCCTCCTCCTTAATGAGAGGTGGGGATTGGGGCAGCATCCCCAGACCAAAATCCATTTCTCTGGAAGAGGGAGATGCAGACTGGAAGGCAGAGTGAAATAGGGAAGTTTTACCTAAAAAATAATCTCAGAAGGAGACCTGGGAGTGTGCTTGGACCAGAGGTGAGGATCACTCTGGAAGTTGGGCTCTGCCATCATGATTCTCCTTTCCCTCTTCTCACTGGGTGCACCCAGCTCCCAGCAGGGATGGGAAGAAAAATCCCGGCCTGCTCCTGCCAG